GTTTTTTGCCTTTTTCAGCTAAACTATTGAAGTTAGACGAAAAAGTTAAATGGCAATTTTTTAGCTTGTCTGATGGACCACAAAAAAGTTTTAGGCGAATTTTTTGTATCGTCAATATTCTAAAAGTTACAGGCGTATAAGTTCATCATTTTTGTATTATTAATTTTAAATTTAAAGCTCTGGAAAAAATCAAATAATGAAAATAGAAATTCGGCTTAATAAGATTTTTTTGTCCAAATGTAATGCTTTGTAAGAATTAGTCATGGATTTTATGAAAAAAAAAAATTCTTCCTAGGTTGCAAGAATAAATAAGGTAAAAAAGTCAGTTTTCTGTGTTATTTAAGCGGCAAAACTTCAGATTCGATGAGGGACCTCTTAAAATTGAAATTATGAGCTCCGCTTTTAACAGAATATTTGTTTGGACATATTCTACAATATTTTGGGTGGAGAGCAAGAAAAAAAAAATATCGAGTTTTTTTGGCACACCCTAATATATATATATATATATATATTTAAAGACCTATAGGTCTGATATATCAGTGTAATAATATGAAAATTATTATAAACAAAATACATATACTCGTATTGTATTATTTTCAGAAAATAAAACAAAAAAACCTTTAAACTCACAAATAGGTAACCTCAATTATTTTTTTTCAAATGTTAAGGTGGGGCTGGTATACTACACACATTACAATTAAGTAAATTTTAATAAAAAATGTCTCAGAACACAATAGACTCGTCTTGGCGGTGTTCGGTATGTGGAAGGTTATATGTAGAATAAAAGAAAATGATAATGATCCTGCAGGCCCGCTCCTTCTTCTCGCATCTCGCCTTTCCCCGAACTTGGAATTTAATTAAATAAGGATTATGACGCGATATTGTACACATTTCCCTCTAGCATCCTTGCCGGAACAATGGATGTCCTGCGACCTTGGCCCCTGTCAGCGACTTAAAGCGCATTTTAAAATTCTCTTCTTCTCATCATCCGATGCTATATAGCGGATTATTCGAGTAATAAACTTTTTGAATACATTGTGTTTCAATTCAATTGAATTACGAAAGTTAATTTCAATAAAGGAGTCTTAAAATGAATGAATGAATGAATATAAATTAGAATGAGTAAAAATTTTCATTTCAAAATTATATTTGGTCTACGAAATTTACCTCTTTCATGAGTTTCTCTTTATTATTTATTGATAATAATATCTAAATTGGGCTAAAAATTAAATTGGTTTAGAAAATTTTAAATTAGACTTTACTTTTACGAAGATTTTTGATGCGTTAAATTGGGGTTTGAATTTTTTTACTTGAAGCTCGAATTTATATCACAAACCTTCAAAAAAATTTATTCTGGTTTTTGTTTAAAAAAGGATAATGACAATTAAGTTCATTAAAAGTCCGTGTACCTTATATGCAGAAAAGCTTGAACACACATGTTATACAGTAGAATAAATTTAAAGTTTGGAACTGATGACAATGGTGTGGATGGTTGAGCGGGCGGATAGATCATCGTATAGCATAGTAGATGTTGATGTATTAAGCAAAGAGAGAGGCAGACAATGCGCGAATTCAATTAACATCAACTACTCTGCATACATCTGCATCAAGTTTGAAGATATTGTGTATTCATTCATTCCCCCTGACAAACGGATTTATTAAGATTGTAATTGAATTCGATACGGGAACTATGGCATACCTACGCAGGGCGACTCGTCAGTCGACTAAAGAAAACAGTTTAGCGAGAAAAATTACTTCTATACAGAGTTCGGAAAGCAATCCCAATTTTAAGCTTTGATATATCTGATACCTGTACAAGGTGTGTTCTAAAGTAAACAGGAGGTTTTCAAAAATTTTATTCGCAAAATTGTTTTAATTTAATTATTTAAAATAGTCTCTTTAAGACTTGTTATAGATCGGTTGGTTGTGTTTACTGGTTGCCAGGAATAATGTGTCGGTAAGTAATTTACTTACCGACGCGTTAACTGATCGGTAAGTAAATTAAGTATTATTTGTCCACTCCCTAAAAATGAATTAGTCAAAAATGACTAATTTAATAGTTATTAGTGGCTGCTTTTTCACTTGTACAGCCACTAATAACTATTATATTAGTAATTTTTGACTAATTCATTTTTAGAGAGCAGAAAGTCGGCATTTTTGTTAGATATTTAAATTAAAATAATAAACTGCATAATATAGACTATAATATAGACATTATATAACTTGATACATAATATAGACCTATCAGATACCATATTATAGACCTATCAGATTTCAAAAAACAAGTATTTTTTTCAGTGTTGCAACGATAAAACTAATACCTATTTAGGTAAAATACCTCTCGTTTATACGACCAACCAATTGGTTGCTATGCGTCAATTTTGACGTTTCTAATTATAAAATAAAAATGTCAAAAAATATGCGTTTTGGTAAAAAAATCATACAGAAATTGACTCGGCAGTTAATTCTAATTTAAAAAAAAATATTCGTGAAATAGTCTTGCCGAATACCACTCGAAATAAAATTTTCCCTGAAAAAATTATTGATTTTTATTTGCTCAAGATTTTTCTTTGGAAATTTCACTCGTGGCGACGAACATTCGTATAAAAATCAAAAATTTTATCGGTAAAATTTGAGTACTAGTGGTATATAATATTATATAGGAATAATCATCAAGCTATTAAAAAAACGATGTGGCTCCCGTCCCGAGGCGGGACTTAAGTCCAGTCCCGATTGACGTCACACACTGTAAATCCGTTTTTATTCCTCGAGATTTTATAATTTTGTGTCAAGCTCGATGGCTTAGATGGTAGGGCGGTCGCTTGGCATGCGAGAGGTACCGGGTTCGATCCCACTAGAAGTTGTCAAACTTTTTTTATTTTTTTTGTTTTATAAATTTGTTGTTTCTTTGTTAAAAAGTGTTTTATTTTTATCGTAACATAAATTTGCCCATTTTAGTTGGGTTTTTTGCTCAATGGGGCGGGGGGGGCCAATGGGGCGGGGTCGGTTGGGTTGTGTTGTTGAGTTTGGGTTGGTTTGGTTTTATGACGTAACTAAAGTGCCCTTAACATGTATACAGGTACAATTTATTATTATTATTATTTTATTATAACATAACAAATCTTAAAATTATGACGTCAATCGGGACTGAACTTGGGTCCCGCCTCGGGACGGGAGCCACAGCGTTAAAAAAAACATAAACAAGACTAAAATTATTTATTGAAAAAACTATACAATATTTTGAAATTATTTCTCAAACAAACACAAAACACACATGGAATGCGCTGGGTCCTAATCTCGCAAATCTTGCAATATCGCGCATGATTTTCGTGCAAGACTAATCTTGCAGAATTAGTGCGAGATCTTGGTATTTCGAGATCTTGGTATACCAAGATTGCATTCCCTAGATATTGCTCAAAATTGAAATGTGTGATTTTTGTGGTCACTGATTACGAAATTGATATTTATTTTATCAAAAACAAAATGGCGGATTCAATATGGTGGTTCCAAAAATATTGTATTAAAATATTTTTTAGGTGACTGATAACAGAGTTGATATCCATTTTTTTAAAAACAAAATAGCGGATCAAATATGGCGAACAATATTCCATAAACAAAATTCCGATATCGCGCTAGAAAATAATATTTAGTTAAGTGGTTTCATCGCGAAACCACCAGGCGGCAGGGGGTTATTCATTAAAAAGTCATTATACCTATACTAAAATCTACTTAAAAATTTTTGCCTGCCAAAAAAAACTACCAGTTCTAAATATGGTTACTAGGGTGGTTCTTATTTGACCGATGTCAAAATTTTAATCGTGCCACCCCCTCATTTGTTTTTAAAAAATATAAAAAAAAATGTATGCCAAATTCGAATGTCCTAACTTATTTCCTTCTATTGCCTGTAACAACGAGTTTTCCAGATAGAGGATTTTTGCCTTTAATGTATTAATTTTTTAAAATTACTATTAATCTATGAAAAAGTATAATTTTTTGAAAAAATGTACAGGAAATAAGTTACTTTAAAACAAAAAAAAAATCATGTATTTGTATCCTAAGGTTTTTTTTACTTCGCTCGATTATTACTTACAGTTTTTCATATAGGGGATTTTTGCTTTAAAACGCAATAATTTTATAAAATCATTAATAATTAATGAACAATTCTAATTTTTTGAGGAAATGAAGGGAAAATATGGTAGTTTTAAACAATCAAAAAAAAGAATTCATGTATGTCCATAGTAAGGTCTTTTTTACTTCATTTAATTATTACTATTATTATTATTGTTATTTTATAAAATATATTGAAAATGGCATAAAAAACAAAATATCAGTGATAATTTGCATTTATTGCATAATTAATGTGTTTTAAAACGTAATTTTTTTACTTTTCTAATGTTGGTGCTACCTAAATATCTTTTAGGCAATCCTAAATTATTTGTTTTATAAAGGCCCATTTTCAATAAACTCTCGTGCTAGAGTGGGAGTCAGAGTGCAAGCTTGCTTTGTGTATTTTATAGTATTCATTTTCATTAAAATCTGACTCCAGCGCACAATCCGCCGTACGTGCTAAAGCTTCTTCTTCTTCTTCTTACTTATTTATTTCCTTCCAAAGGAAATTGGCCTTGAGACAATAGAGCTCTTACTGGCCAGCTACTAGTGTTTTTTTAAATTTACTTTTCTGTTCGTCAAGAGTGTTTATGGAGGTTTCTTCTTTTGTAAGTCAAATATTTAGGTTATGTAACAGCACAAACAAAGAAAAAATCAGGAACGGTAGGAAAACCTAAACATATCACAATTTAATATTAGAATCTTTAAGGAATCTATAAATGCATTTATAGGTATGCATCTAAAAAAGCGCATGCTATAATGGATTTGTAGCTACAAGGCAGATGATGTCCTTTTTGGACCAAGCTATTTATTAGTGCATTAGAGTTATTTATGTTATTATTACAGGCAAAAAGCAAGTGTTTTGTATCTCCGTACTCATAACAGTTCTTTTTTACTGAATTGTACCAAAAATTTTTTCCAACTAAAAAGCAAATGATTGTTGGCCTCCTTGTGGAGTTCATTTGCTGGAATTTTAAAATTTTCTACCCTTTTTTGACCCGTTTTTGCTAACTGATCAACCTTTTTGTTATATTTGATCCTGGAGTGACCAGGTATCCAACAAAGCTTTCTGTATCCTTTATTTTTAGTAATTTCCAAATATATTTTATTAATTTCTAACATTGTAATATTTAGAATTCCAAGAATTTTTCTTGATCTGTAATAAGCAATTAAAAGAATCTGATAATATTATGAATTTCTTATATTTTTTTTTTTCAAACATATTTTAAGTGCATATAAAATTGCAAATTGTTCCGCTAAAAAGATTGAAGATCCACTATCAATCTCATATGAACTTTCAATATTAAGAGAGGGGATGAATATTCCGAAAGAACTTGAACCTTTTACCTTTTGAACAGGTCCATCTGTATAAATTTGAACAACATCAGACCAATCATTATTAATTTTCTGTTCAAAAAGTTTTTTTATAAGACATGTGTTCGAACTCTTCTGAACTCCCCATTCCAATATCACCGATATTGGGACAAGTTGCTCAAAAAAGTTATAAGTAAAAATTGTTGTTTTGGATTTTCTTAAAAATGTTTTTGAAGTTTCATAATATTTTTTAAACGATTTGAAAAGGCAATTATTTTTTATTAATAGGGCTTTGGACCTCTTTGAGTAGAGGGGATCGCATTTTTCCAAACTATTTATCACCATATCTGAAGATATGGCAGATTTTCTTAAAATAAACTACGAATATTCCAATGGATTATCCTAATATTTGCCATATACGAAATTTATATGTTGTTTTTTTTTCCTTTTTAAAGCAAAAAGGATGAAATGAAATAAAATTAAATTAAAATTAAAATCAAATTAGACTTAATTAAAATTAAATTAAAATCAAAATTAAAATCGAAATTAAAATTAAAATAAAAATCAAAATTAAAATTAAAGTTAAAATTAAAATCAAAATTAAATTAAAATTAAAATCAAAATCAAAATTAAAATTAAAACTAAAATCAAGTTAAAATTAAATAAAATTTAAATAAACTACATAATTATTTATTCAATGCAACGTCAGTTTGACCCTGCACTGAAGTTTGAGAAAAATGTATATTTATTAATTTTGAAAGAATATCTGGGAAGTTTTTGGAAAAATGCATAAATAGCTCACTAAAATGCTCCTTGTTGGGAGACATTTCACTTGTCATTTCCTGTGCCTGTTGGGAGGTACTGGGAGTTGATATATAAGGGCGTTTGGAGGGTGTTTCATGTATTCTTCCATTTGAATTAAGAAAATGGTCTTCACTATATTGTGAGGACCTTTTTGCGTGTGGACGAGGGGTTTTATTAAGTACTTTTGTAAAAGTTAAATTTTTCCGAAGGGGAAATTCCTCTTCGATTATGTCATTAGAAATAGGAGGAAAGTCCTCTGAGAAAACATTTTTATTTGTACTTTGAACCATGGATGATTCATTTTGAGGTACTACCTCTTTTGTTTTTTGCGAAGCTTCAAAAAATGAAAGATTATACAAAGACATAATTGTTTTAATTTTTTTTTGACGTATAAATTCAGGACAAACACGGTTTTTAAAATCCGTACCTTTTTCTGTTGAAGAATGATTCTTTTTACAGAAAATACACTTTACAATACAGTTATCATGACTATTCTCTTTTTCTTCTATTTGTTCTATTCTTTCTAGACCGCACCTGTCACATCTAGGTTTACTTTTACATTGCGCCAGAGTATGACCATAACGAAGGCACCCAAAACATTGGGTATATACTTTTCAGTTGCAAAAATACACAAAAATAACTCAACTTTCTGGGGAATAAACTTACCTCTGCAAGTCAAAACGATCATTGAAGTATTCACAAGCTCTTTATTTTCCTTCGATTTCCTCTTAATCCTTCTTACATTTATAATTTTTGTGATTTTTCCCAAAGATTTTATATTTTTAAGAATGTCTGCTTCTGTAAATTCTGGATCTATTCCTCTAACTATTGCTTTAGATGTTACTAGATGCCTAGGAATGTAAGCTTTAAAATTATATTGTTTAAGAAATTCCTCATTACCCAAAAATTCATTGGCTTTGGTCATATTTTTAAAATAAACTGCCATTCTATTTCTACCCCTCTTAGTCACTCTAATGATTTCGTAGTTGTTATTATTTTGTGCTAATAACTTACCTACTCTTTGATAATGCAAAAATGTATTATCAGCTGATTCAATATTAATTATAAAAGGACCTGTATCGTAAACGGAATATAAAATAATTTCATGGTCATATTTTTTGTTGATGTTTTTTGAAGCGTCGAGCTCCATTTTTTGTGGAGATTTTACTAGAATATTAGAATGAATGTTAATTTTATTGTCTAAATCAATTCGATCCCCTTTTTCTGAGATCCAAAACCCTCTATTAACTACCTCATTTATTTCATTCTTAAAATCGTCATTACAGTCAAGTTGGGATAAAAATTCTCTATCCAAAATGGATGGGATATTATTAAGTTGGGATAAGTTAACTAGGCTTTTTACCGCTTCTTGAGTACTAGGAGATCTAATAATTAAATCGTTCACTGCCTGCCTGTAATAATTTAATGTTCCTCCCGGATCTCCGGGGGGAGAGCCATGACCACTCATGGTCACGGCCTAATTGGATATTGTATCTCAATTAAAGTTTTAATACCAAAAATGCTAGCTGATATGTATAAGCATAAAAAGGAAACGGTCAGAAAAAGGATGACTTACTTGTATTTAACCTCCAAAACGGAACCTCACTCTTCAACAGCACGTAGATCCATCTTTCATATATGAAAGATGGATCTACGAAGAGAACGTTTCAATCCAGCTAAAGCTAAAGCTAAGAAGGTGCAAGCTTTCGTGCTGGGTCTGGCTTGGATTTCAATATGATATGGCGGCAGACAAACAGCTGATTGCAAAGTAAAAACAATCCTAATTTCGAATATTTTAAACAGCTGATTGCAGAAGTGGAAACAATCCTAACCTACAATATTTTAATAAACTACCATTGAATATTGTTTATAGATTATTTATTAAATACTATTTAGTAATTAATAATTACAGAATTACGTGTCTATTATGGCAAGTCGTTATATATAATATATATCTTTTAATGGTACCAAAAAGTTCATGGAAATACCTGAATAATTGTGAATACACTTGCAAATTTTTGTTTGACAGTCAAACTTTGACTTATTATTTGTGAAGTGATTTTTAATTCTGATAATTTTTATCTGATTTTTTTTTTATTTTTTGGTATTAAATTTATAGTGCTATCGATAGTTTTAAATTTTGTATTTTGGAAATAGTAAACATTTGTACTATGTACAAATACTACAAATAAACATTTCTCATGTAGGTATTTAACTGTTCATTTTTGTTAAGAAATAAGATCATATTGATTTTGAAGACTGTGAAGTTGTTATTTCATAAAAAACAGCATGTCATAGTTTATTTACAGTGCATATAGGTGTTATGGATAATAATATACCTAATATGACATTTAGAAAGAGTTCAATAGAGTTTTCGCTACACCAAAACAACAAATGTAAATATAATTTACATAACCCCAAATTTTGACATTGTTATTGTCCATTCGCAGCGCCAGCTTATTTGAAATTCGGCGCGAAATTTTGCATGCATGCTGGAGTGCTTGGTTTAGTACTACTAAACCAAGGCTGGAGTGCGAGTATCGGTTGAAAATAGCAACTCTACGTGTGCGACACACTCCCACTCTAAAGCTAGCTTCAGAGTTGATTGAAAATGTAGCTTAAAACTCGGCAAATCTAGCATGAGACGTCAAATGTATACGCCCATCGAAGCGCAGTGACCAGCTCTTAAAATATTCATTTGCATTGAAGTTGTCGTATCGTAAAGAACGTTGCGTACAGTGGATTAAAATTAAAGTAAATCAAATTATTAATCTATAATTTTGATTTAAAATCCATTGTAAATACTACTAGGTTCTTCACAAATAATTATCAATTTGCCATCATTTCTTAACATTTATATCAATAAAAACGTACCTAACCCTAATACAATTTTATTATAACGTGATTTTATTTGTTACCTCATTTAAACATACCTTAACTTTAAAACATTTCTTGTTTACCTTAAATATAATTATATTTATTAATACCCCATCAATATTAAGGTAGAAAATTTTACCTATTTGATCTATTCCAATTGTATAAGTAAATTTAAAAAATTCAAAGTAAATCGAAAATTTACTATTGTTAACTCTTAAATATCTTTAATAATGTTGTTACACGGTCCGTAGTTGTCATTAAAATCTTTATTAGTTACACCCATTAAACTTTAATAATTTTTTAGCTCTAACCACAGCATATGGTGTGTTCTAACAATTTTATAACTTAATAATTTAAAATTTTACAAATACCACGTAAAACCGCTTTTTGGGGATTTTAGTCCTCTGTGCGGCCGATCTTTTCTTCCGAATGCGTTCTCTCTTTAAAATTTGCGCACCAGGCTCATATCTAAAGTCTCTTGCTACATTTGCCGAGTTGTAACATAGCATTTAACTTACATTGTAAGAAAAATTAAATCACATATGCAATGACCTCTACATTAAAATTAACACATTGACAAAGCCGTTCTTGAAAATTGGCATCGACTCTCTTTAGTAGGTCTATTGACGGTTTAAATTCTTCAATTCGTCTAACGTAAAGAGCTTATTTTCGTACACACGTCTTTTTACGTATCCTCATACAAAATCTCATGAAGACATAACACGCCACCTACACAGAGAAAAATATTGTGAATGGGTTAACCATTGAGCCAATGGTGTACTGTATTTGCAATACCTAAATTACAGTTATGATCAAATGAATGATTGTCTTACTTTTATTTGTGCAAACCTGCTTAAAATTAGTTCAAACATAAGAAGTCATTAAATTAACCTGTGATTCTATTAAATCCGTATTAAAACTTAGTTAAAACATACGAAGTTATTGAATTACATTTTTATTTAATTGAATCCACAATTAGTGCCGCCGATACGAGAGGGCGATTTTCTCTCGAAAAAAGGCTCGAGACGAGAGAAAGCCCTCTCTCGTTCGAGAATTTTTCGTTTCTCTTGATCTCTCTCGTTCTCTCGATTTTCCGGTAATAATAATAATAATAATAAATGCTTTTATTGGCAAACTGTTTTACATATGTATACAAAATAATATTCTATGAACACTAAAGAATAGATAACAGTTTGTCAAAGGCAGAGTTCAGACTAAAGTGTCTGCTCTTCCACTCAACCATAAAAATTAACTAAAAAACAAGTATATCCCAAAAATAAAACAACTAGTATTATACTATACACATGAACACAACATGAACACAACATTCCCGTAGTAGTTAAGAAAAATTAGATTAATTAGAAAAAATTTATACATTTATAATAACAGATCATTGTGAATTAATGTTTTAACAGCAGACTTAAATTTATTAGGTTTATAAGTTTTTAAATAATCCGGAATTTTATTGTAGGTATAGCAGCATTGGTATGAAAAACAAGATTTGTATGCTTCAGATTTGTGTTTGGGAATTGATAAAATATTTTTAAATCGGACATTAATATTGTGAATATCATTTCTGTATCTTATTTTATTATAAAGATAAGGTGGTGTTTTGTGAAGTATAACTTTATGAAAAAAGCAGCAACTATGTAGTAGAGCTCTTTTTTTTTACGTTGAGCCAGCCGATTTCCCTGTAATAGCTAGAAACAGGGTCAAATTTGCGAATACTAAATACTAGTCTAACACAGCTATTTTGAATAAGCTGAAGCCTATTGATATTCCGCTGTCTAAGAAAAGGACCGTATAGAATATTGCCATAATTGAGATGCGATAAAACTAGAGCCTCACACAATGTGGTTTTATTTTTCCTGGATAGCAGATGTCTATAGGAGTAAAGTAACTTTAAATTACTAAAAGATTTTTTAATAATGCTATTAACTTGAGTTTCAAAATTTAAATCCGTGTCAATGTAAATGCCCAAGTTTTTAGAAGATTTGACCAGCTCCAACTTACTATCTCCTATCACTACATTTATTCGGGGTAAGACTCTGGTTTTAGATCCGATTTTACCAAATAACAAAATATTAGATTTAGTTGGATTGATGTCTAGACAATACTTGTTAGAAATTGTTATGAAATTTATAATATCTGTATTTATATTTGCACAAGCTCTATCCGTCTCAGATTCGCCAAAGGAATAAACTAGCTGAGTATCGTCCGCATAAAAGTGAGCACTACAATGTTTAATTTTTTTTTCAAACTGGGATGTATAGATTGTAAATAGCAAAGGTCCCAAAATCGATCCCTGTGGTACACCGCAAACGACTTCTCTCGACTCAGAAATTTGTAAACAATGCGCATGAGGAGCGCTTGCGCATTATTCCAAATTTTTGCGATTTTCTCAAAATATTAAATCGATTTTAAGATTTCCGACCTCCAAATTTCAAATCTTGCCAATTCGGAGATCGTCGAAAAGTTTCTTTGGCCAAACTTAATGGACCAATGAGAACATTATTCGCATTTCATAATAAACAAAATTTGTTCCTGGTAAACGTTTTGTTATATAATGAATATTTCATTTAGTTGGAAAAGTGAAATTTTTAAAAATTTCAAATGAAATTTTCAATCCGAAAATTTCAACATTGCCTGTGAAAGTTTCAGAAATTTCATTCGCAACTTACTGAAAATTTCGCATAAATTTCACATGCGGCCTCCCCTGGGACCTTTAATAATAATTTACAACAGAATCCGAATCGACCAATAAGAACGAGTTATTAAGCGTCTGGGCGTTCTTGTTTAGTTCGGCTTGAATTTGAATAAACTATAAGTAATTATTGTTACTTATATGCATAAATTAATTTAAATAATTTAATTCAGTTACCAATTTAATTTGTAAATTAAATCAGACTTTAAATTTTTTTTAAAAGTCATGATTAATTTAAACTTTTACTTTTGCTATAATTGCATCGGAAAACAGATAAAAAATGCGTTTGGCTTATACTATTTTGATGAAGTTTCTTCAATTTTCGTAAAATTTCAGAAAAATATTTAAAAATAATAAATATATATAAATATAAAACAATGAAAGTGGCACAATCTCATTAGCTTACCAAAAAGTGCTATATCTCTTTTAGTTTTAGTAATTTTAAAAATATTTTAAAAGGAAATCTCAAGAAATTTATGGTAAACATAGGTATTTACTATTTATATTATTGGTGCAGGGGCCCACAGAGGGGTAGGAGGTAAGAGAGGCAATTTGCCATGGTCCCCGAGTGGGCTTATTTCAATATTAATATATTACACTTAAAGTGATTGAAATTTATTGAAAGTTTCAATAAATTTCATAAATTTCATGAAATTTCAGAAATTTAGGAAATTTTAATAAACTTCATAAATGTCATGAAAATTTCAAATAAAATTTCAAGTACGAGCAAAAAGTGAAATTTTCCCAACCCTACTCCTTATACTATTAAAAAACCATAAAATATTCAATAAACTTATTTGAGGGGCTGATTTCAAATTTGATATCCATTTCTTCAAAAAATAAAATGGTAAATGGGTAAAATTTAGTAGATATTTATATATTTATGC